CCCCCCCCCGGTCCCACCGTGCTCAAAAAAGCCCGGTCTAGATAGTGTTATCGCAAACAATATCTTCTTCTCTGATTATGAATTTATGTGTCGGTGCAATTTATCAACGCAAACCAAATTTACTTCCACGAAGTTTGAAATCTCCGATTATTTTTTACGCTTTAAGATCCAAGACATCCCCTCGTTCTGGACTTGGGTGATAACCGGGTTGATCCCTGCCACCCATGTGTCCCGATGGTACAACAGTTGGAGCGTCACGGAGACCATGGTCCTGGATGACATGTTAACTCACCCGCTGGGACCAGTGCAGTTGAGACAGGTGCGACTTAAGCCAGGTGAGTCATATTTAACAATTATCTAGTCTTACTAAGGGGAAAATATGTACCAGGTGTTAGTTCCAAAATCAGGAGTTCGAAATTATCTTAACTTTTTCTCAATTGTGTGAATGAAGGTACTAAATGTATTGACTAGGGTTGTGTTTTCATTTTCCAGGAAAACACTGTGAACCACCTGGAAGAATGACGACTGTGATTCCTCGCTGTGTGCCAGTGTATTCTCTAAATCTAGCCGACACACAGAACTACACAGAACGGTGGAACTCCACTGCAAATACCACGGGCGACGCTTTCTGCATTCCAACAACAGTTTTCTTAAACACAACCGAATCTCCTGAGGTTTACGACTGTTTGTCAGCAGAAGATGGGGGACAGGATCCGTGGAGGTACACGTTTGCCGCAGTTACTGATGGTGAGGTTTTTTTCTTGATAAATTTTATCCTTTTACATGTTTCAGCTTAATTATTTTCCGGTTGATAGAAATCATATATGAATTCTGAACCAAATTTGTGTTGTTTATATGTGCACGTGCCTGTGTGTGTGTGTTTGTGTGTGTGTGTGTGTGTGTGTGTGTGTGTGTGTGTGAATGCGTTTTTGTACTGCATCTACGTCCCAACAGAGAATGTAAAGACAACTTTTACTATACCTGTTTCTTTACACAGCTTTTCCTTACTTTGGAGAACATGGCACATACTTAGCCGGTGGCTACGTCACGTCTTTGGGAAGAACAGAACAAACCAGCTTAGCTCGTGCAGCTTACCTACAGCGACAAGACTGGCTGGACGACAAGACACGGGCAGTTTTCATAGAACTCACCCTGTACAACCCGCACGTCAACTTGTTTTCCGTGGTTTCCATGGCAGTAGAGTTCACCAATCTCGGAGCCACTTACAAGGGGTCAGAGGTCGTGACCTTGCGACTCATCCAACGTGACGCCATCTTGCTTCTCGCTCTGAGAGGACTTTTTGCCCTGTTTGTCCTTGTGTATGCGCTCAAAGAAGGTGAGTACAATGTCAGATTTATAACAAATAGTTTTAAAAAAGCACTAAAAGTCAAGAAGCCGGTGTCATTTTCAGATGAAAAGCCTATCGCTGAACACATCTTTAAGTACTAAATATTGTAACAAGACTGCCAATGAAACCATGCATTGCCATGGCAACTGTGGTCGCTGTTAGGGTTATTATTTGCATGGCACTGTGATTATTTCATGGTTTTGTGGAAGCTTCGTCGTGGTTTGTAAATGATTTGTTAAAAATAACAGTTGAGGTCACAAGTCTCAGGGAAAACCTGCCCCACTTTCAAATTCAGTGATCTCCGAGGCTCCGAGTTAACAAGCCCCAAGCCCCAACTAGGGCATCACTGCAGAAAGTTTTCCCAGGGGTCCCCATTGATTTTACTTAGTAGGTATGTGGGCGTAGATCTATGCTCGTCATCAAAATTCCCAAACTGTAAAAAATGTGGACGTCCCATGCCTTTGGACAAAATTCGTGTACAATTGCTAGAATTCTTGCAAACTGCACACAATACTGTATTATTAGGCTACCCCGGAGGCGTCACCAAAAACAGGTTCCAATCAACCTCTAATTGACCTACATGTACTATATATTAAAGTTAACATAGATGAACTTCTAAGGTTTTTGCAATGATCTAAAAGTCTGTGCTTTTAGTAGATTAAACTTTATGTACAGCTTTAATCGTTGTTTACTTTTAAAATATTTACACTTGTTCGCCAATTCTCAGGCAAAGCACTCTTCTCACGCCCCCTGGAATATCTGAGTGAGTTCTGGAGCTGGGTAGAACTTCTTGTCATCGCTGTTGGCTTCTCCGCTCTCGGTGTCTACTTCTACACTCAGAGTATCATCGACGAAGTCGCAGTACAGCGTGCGGCCGGAAACTCCTCCTTCGAAGGTTACAAAAACGCCGTCAGCTGGTACCAAGTCTACACCTACCTTCTGGGCCTTCTCATCTGCTGCTCTACGTTCAAGTTCGTCCGGATCCTCCGCTTCAACTCTCACGTGTACGCCTTGTCCATGACCTTGAGACGATCTCTCAAGCCTGTAACACAGTTCATGTTCACGGCTGGAATCGTCATCATGGCTTTTACCCAGACGGCAAGCTTGATTTTCGGTGTCAAGCTCATGGAGTACAAGAACATAGCATCTAGTTTACAGAGCCTTCTGTTGATGATGTTAGGTAGCTTTGATTTTGAAACCTTAAGCTACGGACATTTCATTCTAGGCCCGTTAATGTTTTTCATGTACCAATGTATGATGCAGTTTTTCTTATTGAGTATGTTTATGGCTATTATAATGGACGTTTACGCAGACCAAAACCAAACCACGAACACAGACGAATTGAACTTTAATGACGTTATTAAAGAATCTGCTACTAAGACTTTCAGAAAAGTAAGAGGTGTTTCTCAGCGTACTTCTCGTGGTAGAAAAAGCGAAACACGAAAATACGAAGGGAATATGCTTTCGCAGATAGATCGAGTGGTTGTTGAGCTGGACACCTATGGTAAGCCTTTTAAGCAATCGGCTAAGGTACAGAAAGACGCTAAAATTCCTGCATGGTCCGACCAGATTTTTCTGTAATATATCCAGAAGATTGTGTGCCAATTTCATACCATTTTGCTCTAGTTGCAACGGTGTAAAAGGTATGGTTTGAAATAATATATAATGGTTAATAAATATGTGTTATGTTTTTGTTCATGATGTCAACACGATTGTCTTAACATGTGTGTAATTTACATTTCTAAATAATTGACCTGATATTGATATTATTAATACTATTTCAGGTACCTCGCTAGTGTTTTATTTTTTGTTTATTGTGGACCAAATACGTTTACATTTTGCTAGCTTTCCTTTATATAGAGTTCAAAATTTGTCATTTCCAAAGTAGGTTTATACAAAGGGACATAAAACTGTTCAAAACAGGTTAGGTACAATATATTATAATGAACATAAAATTATATATACACAAGCACTCACACTGACGTCTGTTCCTTGAGTACAACCACAATACGTAGAAAAATATCATTATTTACATACATACATATGTATATGTTTGATAACAATATGCGTTGTTACAGAACTAGAAACATAAACTGTCGATTAGCCAGTATAAATGAAATTTCAAATCAAAACACAACATCCTTGAATCTATATCAAACTATAACATCTACTTAGATGTAAGACCTATTAAGCAAATCGCTTGACTAATGGAACAAGAATACTAAATGCTTCAATATACGCCTCTTTGTAGCATTGAGTAATCAGCATGGAAACATGCTATTTTCAGATATTGCAAAACTTAGTTCCACACGTTTCTAATCATTATGCAATAATTAGATAGTAGCCATAATTATGAGATTAAAGTCAAATATGACAATAGATGCCATTTAAAAAATCACAATACATGAGAGGTATACACAATTCTTAATGCAGCATGTTCTATCTAACAATGGAAAAGCCATTATGACAACGGCATCTTACATCACTTTCTGCAAGTTCAAATGCCGTGAAAATGACATGACAAATACAATTGTAGAACAGGATACTAATATATAACATAATATATACTAAGCTAGATATTTTAGATTTAATTTCAGTCATGAAGTTCCTGGGGGGGGGGTAGGTATTTACATAGTTGGTCATATTGGTACCATATAACTCATTGTTGTGAATGAATAATATTTACTTCGATTTGTATTGATATTACCGCATACCGCAATCTGTCTATTGTGCAGAAGCCGTAATATTTAATGGCCAGAAATCATACTCAACTTTCCTAACTCAGGTTCTCCTGACCCCCTTTAGATGTGTAGGATCATGTAGCACTGATGCCACACTTCTCAATGAAGACTTTGTGAGATTCTTCCCAGTACTTGGAATCCATAAGCTCCTGCTTGAATTTGGCTGCGTTTTCAAATTCTGCCTCAATGTGCTCCAGGGTGTCCTTGATTCTTTTGGCCCATTTCTTGGCATCGCAAGGGGACCTCCGTTGGCCTGTTGTCACCAGCCTGTGCCGGTGATCTGGGTGACATTTCTTCCTAATTATCAAGTCTTTGATCAGCTCTGCTAGTCCCGAATTGTCCGAGATGAGGACGGGGACTCCGGCTGCGATAGCCGCAAGTCCAACTATACCGAATGGCTCAGAGTGGTACGGCACCAGGACTAGATGGGCTGTCCTTATATCACCCCTTAGATCTTCCTGTGTTCCACAAGGTAGCAGAGTGGGCATCAGCTTACTCAGCTTACTTCTCTGTAAATGGTCTTCAATGGTTTTCATGGCCGTCTCATGATCAACGTCACCGATGCAACGAGCGTGCCATCTCACATCCCTTATCACCTCTGCAACTTCCCCAATTGCTTCTGCGACAAGGCAAAGACTTTCCATATCTTTCACCGGTACAGTAGTGAGCAGAACCTTCTCTTCATTCTTACCCGTAGCGGGTTTTACTGTCGTGTCTGCAAAGAGCTGGGGCGGTCGTGGGAGAAAGAGGTCGTGACTTATCTCATGGTATCTTCTGCCATAGTTCTGAAAATTCTTGTAAACTGGGTGCCCGACAGAAATTAAAGTCTTTGCTTCATCAAAAACACTCGGAGGTTTTCTCGGATTTTGCCTCCGGTTCCATTCAACCTTTGGTATGACATGGTTGACAGTGACCACCTGTGCCTTTGGATATCGCTCATCTTTAATGCTTTCGGCGGCCTCGTCAGTGATGTCAACATGACCAATGATGCAGTCCACATTTGTAGGAAGGTTTGGATATCGGTATTCGTGCTCAAACTCCAGCCATTTTAACGACGGCTCCCTTGTGTCACCTTTCTCTTGAAATGGCGTGATTAAGTTTACCCTGTGCTTTTCTGCATCCCTCTTATCTTCCGGAGACGCACTGAGAACTGTAAAATATACATCCGCCCCGGCCTGGGTTAGCAGCTGTGCGAGCTCGCAGCTTACAATGGAGATGTCGTTTATAGATGTCCCATACCTGTCGTTGACGAACAGGATCGTGCACACACTCTGGACACCTATAAAAAAGTTTAGATGTCATATACATGTATAAGCAATTCTAATTTACTCGTCCCTCATTGTTTTAGCTGTATATATTGTTGAGAAGGAATATCATGAACTTATTCTAGCGGAAAAATACTTTGCTATCATTTATGTATATTATACTGCTAATTTTGCTGATGTCTACATCAGTAAGGTTCATATATATGTATAAGGCTTTCACTTCATCACAATTATAAGTTTAAGGTACTTGCATGTCCTAAGGCTAATAGCAAGTAATGTAATATAGCTATAACATGACAAATACAATTGTATTAAAAACAGGATACTAAGTTGAATATATAACATTTTATAATATATACTAAGCTAGATATTCTAGATTTAATTTCAGTCAGCAAAAGACGGATTCACCCTCATGTGCTATAATATGTGGGTTCTTTTTATATTAAAATTGGATTTCTGGATGCTTTTTAAAATGTTTAGATTTAAATGATCTGTGCAACTGTGTTAAAGTGGTTGCTTGAAGTCTGGCACGCCATACGGTAAAGGTGAAGCGTACCGATAGGTGAAACATGAGGATCTGTTGATGAAGCTCCTTGAGCTGAACGATCTTTCGTATGGGATGATTTGACGGTGTCTGCAGATGCTGCATAAGAAAGCGAAATTGTTGATTGATCAATTGTTTAATTGATTTAGAAGTATGATTGAAAACGTTATTCTTTTCTTTTGAAAAGTTAGCAATTAAGACAATTCTCAGTTGTTTATCTTTATTTTCGCTTTGTATAAATTTTTACGTAAAAAAAAACTCAGTAACTAACGTATACCCATGTGCGTCTTTTATATTACATTCTGATTATCCCAGTCAAATTTGGGTGGTTTTGTAACTACTCACAACCAGAGGCTTATTTTTCCAAGCTTCTGATATGATAAAATTATTTGAGTACATAATAAATCTAGTAATATAAACCACGTACCTATGAACTTAGTCATCTGGCAGACATCATCATTGTCATCATCAGACCCCTTAGCTCGAAGCTGTACGTCCAGTTTTACGTCGACGTCGTCACTGCTTCTCTGAATCGTGAGTTCAAACGTCTGTGGATATGTACTGTCGTCCAATGTGTCTTCGTATGGAATGCCTTTTGGTGGCTGAAAAATAAAGTGTAAAGACAGCTTTAACTTTTCCTTTTACCCTCACCCGTATATCTCACCAGACCGATTTGTTTTATTTCAAAAAGGTTTTATGTAGTCCTTATGCCGATTGTGTCACTACGTTTGGTCACAGCGCTGTATTAAGCGACGGTCACAACTCGCCGTACGTGCTTCTGCGTGCTGTCTACGTGCAAAAACGTGGGCAAACGTACGGCATCCGTGCGTGGTGAGTACCGCCTCCGTACGGAATCCTACGGATTTGGGAGCACGCAGACACGCCGTAGAACCTTAAGTGCATGTAATACTTTTTCTACGTGCGGTCTGCGGATTTACCACACGTGCGTGCGAGTACGTGCGACGCGCGTGCCCCGTACAGCCTATGAGCGTGCAACGTACGGACTCCGTGAGTCTAACTTCACTATTCTCACGTGCAATTGCTGTACGGACAGCGCACGAAGCACGCCAGTGCCACGCACGGTGCTTGCGTCATCCAAGCTTACTCCTCACTTCCCAGTTGACCTGCTCAATGACCACGCAGAACACACGTGCACCATACTAGGTGCTCCGCACGTGCAACGCACGCGCAACGCACCTTATTTCTACAGTATATAAAGACGACTTGACGGGCGACTGCCAACTCGTCTCCAAGATGCCCAGGAAGGCTCAGAAGAAGTCTACCAGACAAGATCCAAAGAAACGGGCCGCGGAAGACACCAGGGCGGCTAGTGATGATGAAGTTAACAGGAGGTGCACGCACTTACAACGTGCGAGTGAGTAAGGAAATCGTGCGCACGCCGCACGTGTAGGTACGGCCTGTACGCGGCAACGTGGCAATCGCACAGAGATCGTACGTTGTAAGCACGTACAACTCACTTACCACTTGCGCAACGTACGATGCACGCAACCGCTGACGGTCAGGCGTGTCGTGCAGACCACGTACGTACACCTTGCGAGTGACGTACTCCCTCGGCCGGCCACCCTACGTTTGCAGAAAAAACGTAGCAGACGTAGCCACGACAAAAACGTACGGACAAAAAGCACGCACGGCGAGTTGTGACCGAGGCTTTAAAGAAGGTTAGCTGTACCTCAGGCATTACCTGGCGATGTATTCGGTATTCATTAAAATGTAAACGTAATTATACATGGTACTACTAACAGGCGACACTATAATTCCGGACAGACACTCTAATTCCGGACTACCTCTCACTTTTCAAGCATAGTTTGTCCTGGACAATTGACATTCCATATTGTGATGTAGAAGATGACAACAACTATGTAGATAACAGTGATAGTTCCCTAGGGATCAGGTTTTTTCTGCAGATTTCTGCAGAAATCTGCAGAATTCTGCGCAGAATTCTGCACCCCGCGCAGATTTCTGCGCAGAATTCTGCGCTGGGTGCAGAAATCTGTGCAGATTTCTGTGCAGAAATCTGCTTTTTTAAAGATTTCGTACCATACTGTCCTACAAAATGTATCATTATGGTGATAGGTGGTAGATTTACTACCCTACAAATGCTACTATCAGTTTACGTGTATTTTGGGCATAACTTGTCGGAAATGCATTGGCTTTTGCCCAGTGGCAGTGCCTACAATTTGGCATGGGGATAGCTTTGCACTGTACATTGTTATGTATGCTGTTCTTTTCTTTTTGTTTCTTAAAAAAATTGAGATCTTTAAATTAATTTATGAAGTAAAACAATTCTCCACAAAGTGATGATGATGAGCTATACACATTACAGACAAGGACATGCAACGTAACAGACGTTTCGTTTGAGCTATACAGGCAAGCATAAGACCAGATCCAGTAAGTGTAACCAGCTAGCCTGAGTGTCAGCCTTTTTATCTTTCGTCTACTCCCCACTTTGCTACATGTAGAGTGTGGGGAGCGTACGAACGCTAGAAAGGCTGACACTCGGGCTAGTAACCAGCAGTATCAGTTGAATGAACCATATTAGGGAAATTTCATTGACACATGGGGCAAAGATTTCTGCAGAAATCTGCAGAATTCTGCAGAAATCTGCAGAATTCTGCACAGATTTCTGCGCAGAAATCTAAATTTTAAAAAAGATTTCATACAATACTGTGAAATTGTCCCACAAAATGTATCATTATGGTGATAATAGCCTGTGTATACAAGCTCTCGGCCGGAGGTTAATGGGGGGCGGCAACCTAGGGCGGCGGCCGCCAGGAGCGCGATTTAGTCAGGCTATGGTGATAAGTGATAGATTCACTGCCCTAAATGCTACTATCACTAGTATCAGCTTATTTTTGTTAAAAATGTCAGAAATGCATTTTGCTTTTGTCCTACTTTATGACAGCCCAATACCCTGCATGGCATGGGGATAGCTTTGCATAAATATTATGCTAAGATTTTGCTTTCCAAGTTCTTTATTCAAATCTAAGACTTGCAAATGGTTTTATATGGCTTACTTTGGGTTAAAATAGTAGAAAATCTATATTATTGGCTTCTGTGCCTCTATATTACAATGTACAGTCGAATGACAACACAGACTTACCAGGCTGATTCCAGGGGATAGCATGTAAACTGCAATTTTCCATCATTCCTCATGGGTTACCTCACAGTTTGGACTACTTGAGTCTGAAGTTTCAGCCTCAGACAACCAGAATCCTAACTACTGGGCCAGCTCTCAAACACACGTAGACACATGTTGAATGTTTGTGTCTTTACATTGTAGAAAAAGCAATCTTGCTTTCAATTATTGACATGTTTATCTACTTAATTTCTCCATAGTTACATATTCTGTAACAACTGTGCAATTCTTCTACATGTGTTTTTTTGCTTGCGAGTCAGTAAAAATTTTAGGAGGCAAAATTTGTGGACCCTGACAAGTTCATACAACCTTATTTTGAAGTGGAGAGATGATCAGACAGGCATGCTGAATGAACATGTAGTCTCCATGGTCAGACATGTTAACTGTATGTTGTGCCCATGACCATGACATGCACACCCTCAAATTGTGCTTTTCTCTGACACCAGTAGGTTACATGTATACTCTAAAAGAAAGACACCTTTTCACAGGAGATCATTCCAAAGCCAGTAGGGGCCAAGAGAGGCCTGGCTGAGGAGGGCCAAGGCAGGATAAACTAATACTGTAACAGGAAATCAAGTACATGTGTGAGGGCCTGCATGGGGGTGTAGTGATTACGAATTATGCAATTTTTCTCCGCTGACTACGAATTACGTCAAAGTTTCAGAGCTGATTATGACTTTACACTTTGCAGCTAGTGTACTATTAAGAATTATATTTTTGGGGAGGCTGCCTACGGATTAGGGGAACTAAAAGGCCTGATTACACCTTACAATAAAGGGCATGCAGGCCCTCATGTAATACATTTGTAGGTCATCTCTTGGACCATCCAACTGAGGAAAAACGATTAGTCTGCCAGTATCAGTGTCACCTTCCTCAGATCCTGTTCATAACATTGAATACTCATTGCTCATCGAAGCTTTCTGGAACTGCACATAACAAAAATACATGTGTGAAGAGTAAAAACTTTGCGCAAGGTGGCTGGCTAGCTTATTAAGGTCTCATTCCGGTATTCTTCCGCGTGGGTACTCTAAAGTAGATCGTACTAAAAATTAAATGCGTGTATGGATGTGTGTTTATATCCGCCAGAAATTGCATTTTAGCTAAGTCAGTTGGCGTAAACCGCTTGTGATATGAGAGGTTGTTTGTATGTGCTAAAATTAGTGGGTAAGTGTTGACATCCGCGCGACAGGTCGGATGTTTACACGCTGTTGTGATGGGTAATGCGGTCAGGAGGTAGCAGCGCTGGAGGACCTCTGGCGGAGAGTGGCCAAGTGCAGTTTATAATTAAATAAAAAGAGATTGTTGGGTTAGATCTGGTTTGGAATTTTTTGACGTAATGTAGGGCCATTGTGCTCAAAATTGATTGGATAGACTAGATGGCTGTCATTCAAATTATAGGGTTTTGGCCTATGTAAAGTTACGTATTTTGCCATAGGCGGCCATAGTTAACAAAAACTCAAGAATGAGACCTTAATAATAGCTTAGCAAAGCTTCAGAATCTGTAACATCCAAACTGTGCACACAACTGTGACCTGAAGGTCTGACCTCTAGCTCCCCCTGTCCCAGTGAGGGGGTAACCAGGAGGTCAATAGAGGAGGCAGATGTTTTTTCAGGGATGAAGTTACATCTTGTTTGATCCCATATTTGGGTCTCTGAGTCTGAGAATCCAGTTCAAATCATCCTTACTAATTAATGATGTCAAACCTGGAACCTATGTGTACCTCACAAGTTACAAATCTATTGACAAAAGGATAATCAATGCAAAACTCCTACAGGAGTAGCACTTCTACCAGGTCTGTTGAGCTGGACTGGGGAAAATATTAGAGCCCTGAAGACAGCCTGCCCTAACCACCATTAGACTCAGGTTACCAGAGATGTCATGTTGTATAAAGATGTACATGTAGATGTACTTTCCATCATGCTCTCATTATAACAGGTTTTTGTCTGACCAAGATATAAACCCCAGCAAAGTCCACATCAGGACTTCCCCTAACAACTTTGAACAAGGAGAGCAAAATATAGGGGAGGATTTCAGTGTTGTATTTCAAACCCTGATCTGCAGAGCAGGGTCAATCAGTGTAGATCCCAGGGGGAGAAAAAACAGGCCTGGCTGGGTCATCTGCTCTGCCAGAATGGATCACAGCAACACTGTAGGTCTTGCTTCAGTGTCTCGCCTATTCAATGTACAAGGCTCGATGCTAGGTGCATGTGCACCTTGGAGCTATGCACCCGATTTATTTATGTGGGTGCACTCAGGTATTATCTGCACTCAAATATTTTCTCTTAATGTACATATATAGTAGTAACAACATAAATAATTCAATCATCGTTAGGCCACACCGATTTAATTTTATGGATGACATCCTCTGAAGACCCCCACACTAGTGCGCGCGGGCGAATAAAAAAAAATTCCGGCCAAAAATAAAAATGCTACTAAACCATGTAGGAATACAAAGCTGGTAGTACTGTATTGTGAATTCGTGGCAGTTCGTAGCGACGTATACGACAAGCCGGCAAATGCTGGCTTTTTTGCGGAATTTATTAATTGGTACTGTCCGTATGTACTGAGTTCTTGAGTCGTGGAGCCTCCGTGGACGTGATCTTTTTTTTTCTTTCTTTTAGGGCGACAGGCGAAAATCAATGCGCGCGCGGATGTCATCCGTAAAATTAATGGCCTTACAGTACTTTTCTTGAAATGAAACATAAATTATTATTATAATAGTTTTTGGAGACATTCTACTTATTTCATCTTACAGTGTATATGGTGCACCTAAAATATTTTTGTTCACCCAATTTTTTAGGTTGGGTGCACCAGTGTCTATTCCCAAAAATTAATTTCAAGCCCTGATGTAATATTATGCCCTTGTTATAACAGCAGATTTTTCTATTGTACACAGTTAAACTTGCATCCGATCATGTGTGAACATTACTTGACAAGACAATTATTCACTCCTCTCCCTTGTTTTTTTTCATAATTTCCAGAGGAAAAGCCCAGTTCACCGTCTTTAAGTGCTACTTTATTCTTTGGGTATTTAGTTTGATCTGGTTGGGAAATGTCTGGCTAACCCAATGTAGCTTTTGTGTCTCAAGTGAAGAAACTTACAAAGACTAGATACTAAGTTGTGAGAAAAAGAGAATTATCCACAAAATTTACCTTCAGGTCATCACCCCCTCCCCCAAGAAATATGTCCCCCCCCTCCCCTACCCTCTCTAGATCTACTTGGCTACTCTACATGTACTTGACCTGGCTTGTCAAGGAAAACATAAGGGCCTCGTATGTACGTAAATGCTCATATACATTATGTGGATCCTGTGCAAAACTGGTCAATATTCAGAGCAATCTGACTACGCACTCTCTTGTTGTGCTTCCAAGGGCTCTTTTTATGTAACTGAAAATCAGAGGGACCACGTGGGGATTTGATTTAATTCCTAACTCTTCATTTCAGTAGCATACATGTACATGACATGTATGTTAGCCTAAACCAGAAGTACATGTATGGCAATGTCAAGTAAGGTTGCAATGACTGTTGTCATGCATCTGAGACCAGATATCATTTAATAAACTTGAGTATAGAATTAGCTTTCTTGAGATTACTTTACATGCATGTATGTACACTACAGACATAACTCATAACTGCAATCAATTCTTGCAAAAGACCTGAAAAATATAAGTATTCCCCTGCAACAAGATACTGTCATGAACAGAACTTGGAAGGTACAAGACAGGAAAATGGATACTCTTGACCCTTCGGTGACCAGTCAATGGAATGTCAAATTCCCCTTGTGGTTTACTGATGCTGGTTAGTCTGGCCTGAGACAGCCTAGCTGGTTACAGGACCTGGTCTTATGCTTTCCTGCATAGCTCAAACAAAACGTCAGTTACATGTACAATTGTATGTCCTAGCCTGGTATCTTCAAATCTGTCATGTGCATATCTCATCATCACTTTGTGGAGCATTTTTTTACTTCAAAAATTACCTTACAGATCTCAAGCAGAACAAATGGAAATACATCCAGTTAGCTAACAACTGGCGAAGAAAATTTACCTACAGGGAAAAAGGTTGGGTTACACAGGCTAAAGGTTGTTCTCCTGAGACTATAGCTATAGAGGTCTCCTCTGTGGCTAGATAAATAAGCTATGAAACATGTGGTAGTGATTACAGTTTGGTGGTCAGGAGGGGCTCTCTGGACCAGTACCCTTGCTGTGAAGAATTACATTAAAAGCCCTGAATTTGTTTGGATAAGTGTGGAGGCGGGGCATAGAAAATTGTTAAACAAACCCAGTAGCACCGCAAGCTACCTTGTACCTTGGTGATAAGTTCTTCCAATGGCAGTTGTCCAGGGCTTGAACACAGTCTCACAGTACATGTAGCAATTCAACTACTAAAATCATGTCCCAAGTTCTAACAAGGCTTTATTCTTCTTTCTTTCCTCTTGACTTAATAGTGACAAATCAATTGTAGATAATCAGAGTCTGCTGTTCAGGACAGGTATCCTCTAACTTGTATTGACCCACAAAAAGTCCTGACCTACAGCCATCAGCTGAGATAGTTGGACGAGAAAAAGCAAGAAAGATGAGGATGGAGAATGGTGCAGCAGCTGAACCATTACACAGCCCCCAAATCCCGAGGACATCCAGTCCGGGAGTCTTGCAAAACTTCAAAGTGGGATAGGAGAGACATTTGTAACCAAGGGCTGAAACTTGATTTCAGGGTGTGATCGAGCCATGATATAGTGGCACAGAAGCTATGTCCATAAGATATGTTTTGTACTATATTTTACCCAAAATAAGGTAAATATTAGAAGTTGCTAGGACTAAATCAAAAGGTAAAAAGCAAAGTATGGTACAAAGCTATCTCAATGCCAAATTGCAGGGCATTGGGTTGTCATGGAGTGGAACAAAAGCCAATAATAGGCATTTCCGACATTTTTTTACCCAAAATAAGCTAGTACATTGTAGTAACATCAGTAGGAACAAATGATACATTTTGTGGGACAATTTCACAGTAGTGTATGAAATCTTTTTGAAAATTTAGATTTCTGCGCAGAAATCTGTGCAGAATTCTGCAGATTTCTGCAGAATTCTGCAGATTTCTGCAGAAATCTTCGCCGGAATTCAATGGAATTTCCCTAATATGGTTCATTCAACTGATACTGCTGGTTACTAACCCGAGTGTCAGCCTTTCTAGCTTTTGTCCGCTCCCCACACTCTACAGGTAATATAGTTGGGAGTAGAAGAAAGATAAAAAGGCTGACACTCAGGCTAGCTGGTTACACTTACTTTCTTTTTCAAGAAACGAAAAGAAAAGAACAGCATACATAACAATGTACAGTGCATTTAGCTATCCCCATGCCAAATTGTAGGGCACTGGGCAAAAGCCAATGCATTTACGACAAGTTATGCCCAAAATACACGTAACCTGATAGTAGCATTTGTAGGGTAGTAAATCTATCACCATAATGATACATTTTGTAGGGCAGTATGGTATGAAATCTTTAAAAAAGCAGAATTCTGCGCAGAAATCTGCGCGGGGTGCAGAATTCTGCGCAGAATTCTGCAGATTTCTGCAGAAAAAACCTGATCCCTAGGGAACTATCACTGTTATGTAGCTAGTGGGGAGTAGACAAAAGATAAAAAGGCTGACACTCAGGCTAGCTGGTTACACTTACTGGATCTGGTCTTATGCTTGCCTGTATAGCTCAAATGAAACGTCTGTTACGTTGCATGTCCTTGTCTGTAATGTGTATAGCTGACATCATCATCACTTTGTGGAGAATTGTTTTACTTCATAAATTAATTTAAAGATCTCAATTTTTTTAAGAAACTAAAAAGAAAAGAAAAGAACAGCATACATAACAATGTACAGTGCAAAGCTATCCCCATGCCAAATTGTAGGACACTGGGCAAAAGCCAATGCATTTCCGACAAGTTATGCCCAAAATACACGTAAACTGATAGTAGCATTTGTAGGGTAGTAAATCTACCACCTATCACCATAATGATACATTTTGTAGGACAGTATGGTACAGAATCTTTAAAAAAGCAGATTTCTGCGCAGAAATCTGCACAGATTTCTGCACCCAGCGCAGAATTCTGCGCAGAAATCTGCGCGGGGTGCAGAATTCTGCGCAGAATTCTGCAGAAATCTGCAGAAAAAACCTGATCCCTAGGGAACTATCACTGTTATCTACATAGTTGTTGTCATCTTCTACATCACAATATGGAATGTCAATTGTCCAGGACAAACTATGCTTGAAAAGTGAGAGGTAGTCCGGAATTAGAGTGTCTGTCCGGAATTATAGTGTCGCCTGTTTACTATGGATGCTTGTGTATACTACCCCGGGCATGGAGGTTGTTTCAGTTAGTCAGCTTCTTAACTTTGTTAGTGAACATACAAAGAAATTCTTAAATAGCAAAATATTGTATCTATAGGCGTATACACAGGCAATGTTGCATAAAATAATGAGGGCATACCATCGGGTTGTGAATCGGCAATGTACCATTCTCCACCGCTACATGCAAGCAGTAGGTTTGGCCAGACACCAACACACAGGCCCTGCTGTCTAACAGGGAAAATGGATGCTCCCCACATAAGTCCTTTATGGCATCTTGTAGAGTCTGTAAGGATGCATTAATCCATTGCGGCATTGTTGAAATATAAGGGACATGCATATTTGATAATAAATTCATGCTTTCTATGGTGCAACAGATACAACTATTTTTGTGTGTGTTAATTTATAAAATTATTACATCTTTATAACTATTTTATTAATCTTTCGATTTCGACTGTTCAAGGTGTTTACGACAGCTGGTGTAATTTCACAGCAGATCCTAAAGTTACAAGGCAGTATCAGTTTGATTGAAAGTCACTGAACCGTTGTGTAAATGGTTACTCCTTGTACATGGTTACTCCTTGATAAAATGGTCAAACAATGATGATGATGGTAGAATAGATACTACCTAGCCACTCTAGGATTTGCTTGGTGACTAAGCTACCCAACACCTACGGTCGAGAATACCTTACCTTTATAACACCCTTGGTGTTGGAGACGATGAAAACCTTCATATCTACACGGTTACTTGTCCACGGTGATCTAAACATAGCGAAAAGACATTTCCTTGGAAAGGTTCTTCCGAGTAGCTTGGCGATTACACTCCACACCAAGCTTCCCTTCCGATGACGAAAGATGAGATGTGTAGGTGTGATCACCGCCGGGAGCAGCTCTTCCTTCTTGTCAGTCACATGGACAACTTTTGCCTCTTCTTCTGTTATCTCTGATAGGATCAAGGAAAAAAACACGAACATTTTGCCATTTAATTCTAATGCATCGGTATCCTAAAAGAGCTGAAAAACACGTTGCAACAAATATGGTTCAATTTCGAAAGCTTGCAATGAAAAATAAAAAAAGAGAAGCACACATAACATTCTCCTCAGTGATTGCACCAACTATGATTATGGTTGACCCACTACAGGCAGAGTTGGATAAGCTTCAAAAATATTACTTTACATTACAAAAACGGCCCTAAATTACTCACTCATCACGTCATCTTTTGATAGATGGAGGATGTGCGGTAGCAGGATTTCTACAGGCATGTCCTCTGGAACGTCACAGTGGATGGAAAACGTGGGGCCCACAGGAACGAAGTCGTCTTGATGTTCCCATTGGTCAAGCATATACCTTGTCTCATATGTCATCGTCATAGACCAGGATCCGTTCCATGAAGTGACGATCCCGATGCCTGTCTCCTTGCAGATGTACTTACCGTATCCGGTTAACTCACGTCCGGTTGGAAGCGTCATCCGGCTAGTTGGCAACAGTAATGTATGATTAATATAATTAATTACTATTTGACAAGTAATGTAGGTCTTAAGGCCCCCATTCCACTTGACGGCGCTCTCGCAGCGCTGTTTCTACGATCTGAAATTGGCCAGAGCGCGGAGGGAGCGCCATTGTCGCCAAAGTAGCCGAAATGCAGCGTGCTGAGAGCGCCATAAGCCGGTTTAATCCGGTTAATGTCATTGCCGTGACAGCGAAGATCCAACGATATATGAGCTCAGAGCAAAATCATATTTCTATTCGTAATTACACTCTTAATTTACATAATTTATATATGATACAATATGTTCAAGAATCACGTAAATAACAATAACAGACACGAAACGTATGAAAGTAATCCGTTTGGTCGTCCATAGAAGTTAGTGGCATCAGTGAATTTTTGGTCGCACCAAGAGCGCAGAAATTCGCCGGATTCTACTATAGCACGTTTTTCGTTCTTCCTAAGCCCTGGTGAATTTTAGGTCGCGGAGAGAGGGCCGTCGAGTACAATGGGCGTATTACTAATACCATGGAGCCAAAGCGGTAATTAAAACCACATAACGTTACATACTCAACGGGAGTGGTTACGTGTTTGGCAATATCGAGACTGATTGATTCGGACCCTATTATGTATATACAATAAAATGGAATATGAGTCAAAATTTCAAATAAATACATAAACACAATACTTTAATTGCTAAATACTTTAACGCACAGAATATGTAAACCCAAATTTAAACGTACACAAAAACGCGTGTTGGCTTTTGTTCTTGAGATGTTTAAGTTTCAATTTGTGTAATAGATGTGTACATGAATGGTCTACAGAAAAAATGGCCAATGTCATTCCTTAAAACTTACAATTTTGTGACACCATCTTCATCAGTGGACACGTCAGGCTGTATTTCTATCTTTTCCATTGAAGAAACTTTCTCCTATAAAGGGGTCAAATGTTTAGGTCACGTAAACGAGCATTGACATGCAAACCTTGCAGTCAATTTAGAAACATTGGGAAAATATCTAAAGACTTTATATAGAAATTTGATAAAACCGCATGAATTTAAAACCAGCTTCATCGAAAATAGGGTATTTTTTTTTATTCAAAAGCACAGTTATGAAAACAAATTAAGGACATGGACTAAGTGACTGCGAACTCAAGTTAGGTTCAACTTATATTTTCGCAGCCACTTTTACAATGGAAAAAGGGCGTTTACAAGACACTTGAAAAACTAAGGATAGCATGAGTCAAACCTCCTATCCCAGAAGAGAAGGAAAGCATAGCAGGGCACATACAACTAAAAGTGTTTTGTTTCTATTGGACTGCTCTATATACACATATCAGTCTGTTTTGGCTAGCTTTCAAACATGCTTGGACACGTTATTAATTTAAAGACACTTTCTGACAATGCTAAACAATTTTTAGTTCTTCGCGGCAGTTTGGTTTGTTCGAATGGCATTAACTGTGAAATTATGTTAGCAGCGCAAAACTACATCACAGAAACAAAAAATGCATTTCAAAACATAAGAATGAGAGACAACTTACCTGAAACATCCTGCGCACAACAAGTGATTGATCATTCCACCCCATGCTGGCCAGCATCTTTTCCACATCCTTCAGGTCGTGCGAAGGGCCATAAGTCCCGCGTTCTTTAAATTATTAAAAATATTACATAAAAATGCTGTAGCTAGTTATTTTTGCTTTTGCTAAAATGCGCAACCTTTAACTTGAGAGAGGCTAAATAAAAGTTCTTAACGGTACCTTGGCGGCTCCACATGTCTTACTGGACGACAGCGTTTGCGAGATGTCCGACAGCCTGAGGAACGAATCCCCTCTTCTATGTATTTCACGCTTTAATTTACATGCATTAATAATTGGCGACAGGTCCATCAGAAAAAAAGAAGTGTCCTGAATGAATTAAAAATGCACACTATTGATCGTGCACGTTGGTAACGTTAAAATGTTGAAATTGAGACATGCACACACACCGATCTTAAGACCTTCGCAGATCATGTGTAGTTCTCCAACAGGACCAACACGGGCATCTTTAGTGAGATGAGCGGTGATACGGTCGCCCTTAACTCGACTTTCAAACAGGACTTCGTCTCGAAATGCGTCCTTGTCGTAGTCCATACAAAGCAGCTTTACATCGGGATCTGATGAAATAAGTAGGACTATTAATGTTAATAAATATGATATATCCTTTTCAGATCTGGCTTTTTAGTCATGCTGGGACGTGGTGTTTTTTGGCTAAGGCCACAACAAGTAATTTCATACATGACATCAAAGCGCGCATCAATTTTAGCCGATTTTCAAGACAAAGAAAGACATTTTGATGCACCCTGGCACTTTTGATCGATTGCTTACGTCACGTATCAGTAAAGCCTCGTGTGGATAATGTCACGTGTTTGTAAACCGTAACTCTCGCGAGATCACTTCGTGAAGGGATTGGTCGTTTGTTATCCTGATGATGGCGACAGTGGTCGTTAGAAATCTGATCTCTTTTTAAAATGTGTGTTGAAATAAAGTTCAACGTTTTACTATGATTACTGCCAACATAGATGAACGTTCATGATAATTCGGAAGTAAATAATTGCACAATTCTTGTTTAACAACTTGAAGGTTTATGATGTTAAAATTTGAAAAGGTAGTAATCTTGGGGTTATTTTGCCAGCCTTGTTTATTTTCGTCCTATCGCATTAAATTTTGAGTCTGCCAAAGAAGTCATCCATACGATATACTTGCTGTAAACCGTAAAGATGTTTTTTTTTCCACTCCGGTACAACAGAGGTAAAATGACGTCATAAATTATCAATGTTAGAAAAGACGTTAAATTTAATATCAAAAACTGAAAACTTTGATTTTCAAACGAAAAAATTACTGAATTAAAAAAAACGTTGCCATGGCAACATCTTTCAACTTATCTAATTGATATGAAATTATTGCCACATACATCTTAGGAAAGGTCACAAGATTTTATGGTTATAGCGTAAACCATGTAGGCGTTATAAGAGATAAAAGTTTCACGCAAAACAACGCTAGTTTATTCTGATTGGTAAGAAAATGAATAATGATATTGTAAATGCAAGAGACTTACCCAGTGGAATTCCAAGTCTGCTACCTGTCACACTTACAATAAGAGGCAGGTCGATCTCCACAGGCTCCTTAGCATCATCACAGCGGAACTGGAAGCGGAATTGCGGCCCCATCGGAACGCAGTCCAAACCGTGAGTCCACGGTTCCCCAGACCACAGCACACTAGTCACGTAGAGTGGATAGGGGGTGATGACTCGCAGATCGGCGCCTTTACAGAAGAACTTACCCTCATGGGGCAGCGACCTGAAAAAAACAAGAATATTGATATTGTCAAATCTATTAAGAAGAGTTGGGTTGGTTCTGATCGCGATCGCAGATCTAATTCATTTAGCAGGTCTTTGGTAGAATTAACGTCGTTAATTAAATTTTAAATTACTGCAATGGCAGGTGTGATTAAATAGAAAGCAAGCATCATCATCCGCAAACAATATTATCAAGGTTCCGGGTCGAAGTTTACATCAGACTAGATATCCAAATTGCATTGTGCGCAGTAAATCGACGGACCTGCGAGGTTGTCACGCTAGGTTTGGCTCCCCATAGCTCGGCTATCGATGTAGATTTTCAAATAGGTTTTGAGCTGATAAAAAAACCTTTGGATTGTAGTGTTTTTCGGCGTGGTTAAGTTGGGCGGCCAGCGAAGCGTTTTTGGTATTAGTAAAGGATGATGCGGTTTGCAGCCTGATGATCCAAACATCTGTGTTCTAAGTGGAATTTTAAGGCATTCGCATCACCGACTTATCGCCGCAACAATCTATATTTTGTTTCCGTTTTTCAGAGACAAGAAGTATATAAGCAGCATATAAGCCGTTAGCCTGGGAAAATTTGTTTTCCCAAGCAAGTCCGTTGAAAAAACTGCAAAAAAAACTATATTTTTCGTATTCAAAATTTACGTTTAACTACAGTTTCTACCCAAATTATAGAGTCGACGGACAATAACCAAAATTCTATCGGAAGCCGACTAGAAACCTCCGTTGACTGATATAATAAGGTTTCCCGGCGTACTTTTCTCGGCGGAGTTGTAGCCCTTCGGTCTGAGGGTGTCCGCGCGCCGGATCCAAAATCGTGAAAAAAAATCCGGTCAGAAACTTACTTACCACTTTTGGCATTCTTTGCCGTCCGATGTCTTTTCAGGGTTTACAGTGATTAAAGGCAATCTGTGACGATAGTCCTGAGTGAGTAAGAGAAGCACAATTAAAGTCATTAAAACAGCCAAGAGTTGTTTTAGTCTCTTAACGGCACGTTTTACTTTTAACTTTGAGAAAAAATACTATAATAATTGCTATACAAAATGAAATGCTTTCTGACTGACAACTGTACTCTGTGCTTGCTTTCTAGAAAATTATTAATACAGAAACCTATTATTTATATAGAAACCTATTGATTAATATAGAAATCTAGAAACCTTAAGGACGGCTTGAACATCCAGAGCAAGGTCATGTTTCCTCATCACGTCCAGAGCCCGTATTAGCTGAGGGAGGTAGTGCAAAGGTCCATGCCCAGATTTGTCTCGCCACAGTTGCAGCGCTCGGAATACCCGCTGAGTGACGCCGCTCAGACCTGTAACCTCTATGTCCAGTCTTTTCAGCTGAAGTTCTGTGGCCAGACGTGTCCAGTTTTCACCGAGTTTCGAACTCAGGTCGTAAAGGCTACTGTCTGAGAGGAGGAATGCAGGTTTTTTGCAGGGTCATAACTGAAACTAATTCTAAACCAACGAAAAAGTATTATAATATATGGCCGAATCCAAATACTGCATCTGCGTTGGCTTCTATAGTTTAGAATTGTGTTTTGAACCAGATTATTATCTTGAAAGAAGTCATCATCATATTATGTTATAATGACAATATACAATACCCTTACCTATGATGTACTTATTCGCCTTATCCGCACTGGGTACACCACGTTGCTGTATTGGTTCTTGCCATTGTCCAAGGAAGATCTTATCCAGGTCCTCTCCAGTATGCTTGTGTAGAGCCTCCAAAGGGATTGATGCTACCTTCTTGTCTCCAGTGACAGTCACACGATCTTCACTTATTCTGGTTCTGTATTCCTCTAAACATGGCTTGATCTTTTTGACGAGATCCTTTATCCTTCTCCATGCTTGCTTTCCCTCTGTACGAAGGTAAATCTCGTCCACTTGCTGATGGTCCATCTTGCTGGTGTCTGTTTGCCCTTTCTGTAGCGTCTTCTTCTCATCGAGCACACGTCGGTACATGACGTCCATATTACCAACATTGTTTATAACCGCATTTCTCTTCACCAGCCGTCGTCCCCCCTCGCTCATCTGTACTATGCGGCATGCAAGGGACTCTCCTAACCCAATAGGGTGCTCGCTGTTAACATCCAGGGACTTCATCGTTACCTTGATTTCCTTCTCACCTTCTTCAAGAACTTCATGCCAACGCGCAGCAACCTCTTCTTCCTCGGCATTCGGCACATTAGCCATCATGGTAACAGTTCTGTTGAAGCAGAGGCCAAAGTGTTTCATCAGTGGCAGAAGAAGGCGGAAGGATTCTGCTTGCTCAGGTAGGACTGCATCGACAAACTCGTCGCTCAAAACGCCCTCATCAAGAAACTGTGTTCTTTCCACGGTTAACAGTTTCTCTGCCTTTTGTATATGCTCGGCCATGTCATGTCGAAAGAGCTGCTTGAAAAGCTTTAGGATGATGTCCGGGTCCGGAAACACTTTGTCCTCCATACCCTGGATGTGTCGGTAGAAGAGGATCTCGCCAGTCACATGGAGATACTCCAGGGCATTCAGAACATCATCGCTCTTCATTCCTACAGCCTCTCCTAGTTGCTTACACTCCTCAAGGTTTAGGTAGGTTTTGGATGTTTCCTGGTGTATGATATTTTCAAAGTTGGACCAAGCCTGTTCCTTCCCCACGCCAGTGTAAGAATCAGTAAGGCGCTCTTGCACGATATGAGCCATCTTGCGTCTGAGGACATCTATGCCCTCGTTCCTCTTACTGCTCACTGGCACGATGTGGACGTCAATGAGGTCTTCCGAGCGGCCATCTAGTAGTTTTTGTAGTGACAGCTTCTTGCGCAGTATTTCTTCACGTGACAGGCCTACAAAGTGATCATCTGCCGGCTGAATCCCTTGTTCCCTGTTGTCAAGCGTTTCCTGGCATCTGCTGATCTCCGTCTGGAGTGACTGCCTGACTGCGGTCTCGGCAAACTTGATATCTCGCCGCAACAAAGCTTTTTTTTTTGTGACATCACCCTCATCGGTTTTCGTCCCCACGACAATCAGGGCTGGTTTTGTGACGTGAGAAGAGATGGACGTCATCCACTTGCCGACACGCTCTTGAAGCTCTCCTGACTTATAGTCTGGCAGGTCGACGCAGAGCAGATATAGCCCGAGATGTGTCAGGAAGAAGCGGTGTGTGTAGTGGTATACGTTATGGCCACCAAAGTCATAGATTTTGTACTCAATGCCATGTTTCTCATCAATGTATGACAAGATGTCCACCCCTATTGTTCTGTCTGACTCCTCCACTAGATGGGCTTGTCCAAGGATCATGGTCAGGCAGAGACTTGTCTTTCCACATCCGGTTTCTCCAAGGAGAATCAATTTGATTCTTTGCTTTGTACGGGAAAGGTATCGCCCGAGTTGCCATTGGGTGGGTGACAAGGCTTTTGTCTTCTCTACAAATAAATGGCGTGGTTATCTTATCAGTAACATAAAATAGATATTTCTGTCTTCTTTTCAATTTTCGTTCTTAAAATGCTGTAAATAGATGTAAATAGACGTAAATAAATGCTGTGGATTCCAAGTCTCATGAGAGAAAGGAAGTGTTCTCTTTTTCTGAATTTAAAAATTAATTGAATTGGCAACTTGACAAGGTGGTCATCATTCCTATTCTACTAAGTGTCCACCGAAGCAGACAATGCAGACTGGATTATAAATAGTTCAATTCCTTGGTAATCTGTGTTTAAATTTCTTAAATTCTGTTAATTTTGTATCAATAAAAATCTTTTAGAACGTCTGCTCTCGAGACTGCCTTTAACGTACACCAAATAGCATGGTGCTACATGACGTTATGTATTTAGGGAAATGTTAAACCTAATCCAATTTTGACATTTGTTATTAGGGCGTTTCTATTCCTATTTATTTTCTTGCACAATTTCAAATGATATGCAAATACCTTTAGAAATTAAGCCTTTAACCGTTCCACGTATGTGGGGCTTAGCCGAAACGACTGTGTCCTCGCTATCAGCTGTCTTCTGCAAAAAAGCAATAATGGTAATACCGAGGTTGGTAATACAGAGGTTAAGTGAATTGCAAAATAAAAAAATTCACCTGCAAAATAACATTTTTCTGTCAAATAAGAGTAGCAATAAAATCGTAGAAACGATGCTCACCCATTCAAGGGATCTTATCTCTTTCGACAGGAATGCCTGTCCACCCTCCACCAATGACTGCAAGAGGTCCTCATAGTCTTCAGGTGCTTTGATACAGTCTACCAATGCGTTTACTAGATCTGGCATTGGTGTCTGAAGTGATACAAAAAGTATGATGATGATTATTATGATGATGATACAAACGTAAAACTACATCAAACCTGACACATGGCTCATCTAGCATCACCTAAAGCGTATCTGCTGTTTAAGCTAAAATTAGCAACGCCAAATTGCGCATTATTAGATTTAATCATATTTCTCTGAGGACTTTGTTTTTATATATTTTGTATTCAAATTTCTGGTTTGCTATTTCAAGCCAAGTGGCTCAATTTAATTGAATTGTTAACATCATTTCTCATACTTAGGTCCTTAGTTGGTCTTAAAGGAAATCATTGTACGTTGAAAGATCCATGTTACAAGTTGAATGTTTTCAAAATGCCTAAACATGCCTGGAAAATCGAATAATCTAGTCTTCCATATCTGTTTCTTATACGGTTCGATGCGATATGAATATGCCATTTAAGTTCAAAATAGATTTTGTATAGCGTTACAAAAAAGAGAACGCACATGTTTTGATGATAAACCTCTGTTCTCCATGAAATGAGTGACAGTGTCTCTGTCCAGGTTGTCAACTAGGAAATCTGCAGTCAGGACCAATGCCGCTTGTCCCCTGACTACAGCATCTAGTGTAATCAGAAGTAAGTATTAACCATGAAAAAAAAAACATTTGTAACAAAAGTTGCCATTGTCACCAATGATTTGGAACCGTTAATTACACGTTTAAAAGCATATAACTCTGTAAAAAATGAGTAACTACTAATCCTAATATTTTCAATGGCTGTTAGAAATAACGTCAAAAATCATTTCCAAAATGTTCCACTGGTCCACAACAGTCACAACGTAATACTAGTAAATTGATATACAGACAGTAAATAGTAACTTATAGCCACTACACTGGAATGATATATATATTGATGTTTAAGCAATAATAATTACCAAGTCGTGTCTGAAGAGTACATGTTACGTCCTGCAGCTCCATGCCCAATAATGCTGCCTTCACGACCTGTAGCTTCAAGATGCCCTCGTCTTCTTCTATCTGTTGCCACTGTTCCAACATGTTCCTGCAGGAAGCCTGGTCGCCATCGCTACGTAAGCTGGCAGCAAATCCATCGATGTCGTCTGCAGAGAAGCCCAGCCGGCCAGCCAGGTCTCTCCATTTCGAACCCACTCTTTCTGCGATGAAGGGGATGTAAGGAGTGACGTCTGAAACGGAAGCGAAAAGGGCCAATTAAAGCATAGAAGATTATGGGATCGCACTGGGTTAGAGAAAGTGGATAATTTTGTTTTCCTCTTATTCTTTCGATTGGTAATTCTTTTTACAACTTTTAAGAATGTATCAAAAGTAAATCATCTCCAGACCAAGTTGGCCATGCTGTTCCTGCGTATATGAGTCATACTAAGTCTTATAACCAATTTGATAAAAGTCTGATGTACTGATGAGATGCTGCAAATAGCCACATTTAGAAAATACTGTAATGCGAAATAATCATGCCTAAGAGGAAATGAGAGTTCTTAAGAGGACCATCAGACTATGCATTTTGTACATTTAAATTGATGCAAGAATGTCAACTTTTAACCCAATAAAAGATACCTCTCCTTTCATACTTAAATGATTGATACGCTTTCCACTGTATACCACATTCCTTACCCTGCAAAACAAACAAAACAACAACAATCGCGTATTAGAAGCTTCTCTCACATATCCCCTTACAATATGAATTGCAAAGGCATGTAAAAACGAGAAAATTAGTCTAAGCCAGTTTCATTCCATTTGAATAGAAACAAGTGTCAAAGATATTTAAAGAAATTCTTCTTCTTTTACCGATAAAGGACATGCAGTTAAGACATTAATTTTGATAAGAGAAAATAAAATAAATTTCTAATATATGGCTGATGGATAGACGTATAAATTATAAAACTAACAATTTTCCAATCAGCTTACTTTGTACGCTTTGAAAACATTCAGGACAGCAGTCCTCTGCTGGCTCCCATATAGCAGACCAGACAACTCCGCTGCCATTTGGCCATCCTAAGAATATAAAAAAAATATTCAATACAAACAATAAGGAGAAATAACTACAGAATCAAACAGTTTTTTATGCAAAAGATGACAAAAATGACCTTTACTTTCTTGTCCAAACTTCAACCTCCCTACCAATAATTATTAGGATATATATTAGCCACGTCCCGAGGAACTTTTTAAGTCGCCGACCCCAATTTATATTGCATGAAAGTGATTATTTTCTTCCATAGTCGAACGTAATAACTAAGTTATTCCCATTACTTAAGAGCTCAAATTAAGAGAAAAAATCGATATAAACAGTTAACATCAAACCGAACAGGCGCCAACAATCAGAAATGGAAGAAATATGGCGTTAATGCACTACGTCATATACCAATACAAGGTGTCGACCTCGGGGTCTTGTGAAAACAATATATTGAGAGTTGTAAAACCTGGAACATTAATCAAAAAGCACACTTACATTGTTCTTGATGCTACTGTCAGCCCCAGTTTTCAATAGTTCAGATACATACTGGGGACGTCCAGTTGTAACGGCAACATGGAGAGCGGTGTTGCCCTGAAGGAAAATTAAGCTTTTTGTGAGTCTCGCGACAATAGATATACTTTACTTTTCACATTTTCCTTTTTTTATTTATTCACTTCATGGTTCACCAGAAAACAAGGGTCATGAAAGCCACTAAAAATGTTTTCGCTAACTGTGCGGCCAGTCAGGACAAATGTTTGTTGACCTTAGGCTTGAAAAAGTTAAGGTTATACCCATATTTTCCATAGTGTTCTAGGAAAGAAGCTTTCAGCTTGGAACTTCCTCCTAAGAGGTGGCAAATGGAGGAATAAAGGGTGATTTGCTTCAGTGGAAGTGGCAAGACGTGTCCGCGATGAGAATATTCGAGGTGGAGGCACTAGTGAGTGAAAAAAAATCGGCCCAAAATCCGAGGTCATGATCAGATGAAAGGTTCGTTATGCCGCTTGGTTAAACCTACAATGTCCCAATTAATGCCCTTAGGGTGCAGTCAACAGATGGTGAACTTTTGAACTGTCTCCTAGGTCGTTATAGTGACAAAAAGGGATGTCTGTTAAGGATTTGAGCCCGGAAACCGCAACCCAAATCCTATACACATGATATACTATACGTAATATTCCACTAAATATTTGAGTTAATTGTTGGAGTAGGGCCTTCTACTTACATTGTTGTCCTGTACCTCAAGATCCGTCCAGGCTGTGATCAAAACCTTTACAGTGTCTGTTTGGAAATTCCGGAGTGCCTCGTGGAGCGGCGTTCGCCCCTGGATAATAAATTTATACGAACAATTAGGTAGTTGTATCATCTACAAGATTAAGCAGTGTTTACACAGAACACTCCTTGACTTCACTTCAGAAGGAAGAGGTGTAGGTCCAAGTGACGCTCTTTACCCCTGACGTAAAGCCAAATCGAAAGAAACTACATCGAAAGCAGTATTTTTTAAATGACTGTTACGTTAGCCTTGAGCTGTTGGGCATCGATGTCTATCATGTGTGGTGAAACGTATTGTATTCTCTGATGTTTTCTTCTTGTCCTTCTCCTCCTCCTGCTCCTGCCATTTCGATAAATGGATTCAATCTCTTAATTTTTTTGGCGAAATTACATGGAATTTGGCGTCATTATTGGCGTGATTTATTGCCTTAAAATTTTGTGTAAAAAAATCGAAGTTGGGATGAAATTTAAAGGAAAATAGCCGGAATGTACCTAATGGTCAGTTGGTCCGTAGACCATAAATAGTTTCTTTAACCAAGACATTGTATTTTAGATCTCTGTATATTGTGCTCTCCCTGAATTAAGCATTGAATGAAAATACAAAAATAAATGATCTGATGAGATGGTCCCCCATCTTTCATTTTGACCAATGACGTCATCAAATTAGTATAAATCATGCATCATTATTGATAAGAATTACATGAAATTATATATTATTGATATAAGAAAGCATGTGTAAATAAACATAAAAGCCTGAAAATGTCATTGTTCAAGTCGAAATTACTGATTTTTGCAAAACCAAGCCTGTCAGAAACCCGTTACCATGGCAACGCGACAAATTTTAGATTTATCTCACTGCTATAAAATTGTTGGCAGCAACATTTTAGGATAATTCTTTAAGTTTGGTTGCCCTAGCCTACGCCGTTCGGATGTTATTCGACATCAAAGTTGGTGCGGGCCCTTTTAGCCTCCACCCCGAGTCTAGATAGGGTTAACACATGCACATAGCCATACCATATTAACAGTATTACTGATTGCACTGCATTCAAGTGTTTTGGGGTTGGTGTGTCCATCTTCCCTGCTCAATCATTGAAAATGAAGGGCATAAACGCTATTTTTTATCTTGAAAATCAACAGTTTGCATTATGCAAATGAAAATCCTAAACAATAATAATACCTATCTTTTGTATTCTTAGTTATATGTGACTTCATTCTATAGTAATTTCCATGGCATGTAGTAAAATCTGGTGAAGCCATGCTGCATTTGTTCCAAAGCAAAGTCGACCTTTCTAGCTATACACTAATTCAATATAAATGTGCTGTGAAACATAATGATATCAGTTGTTATTTAAATCACATAAAACATTAAAAACTAATTCGATAAATAATGAATCTACTTACTTCGTTGTTCTGTGCATTACGGTCTGCCCCTGCTGTGAGTAAAACTTGGACAGTTTCTGTGTGACCATTGGTGGATGCCCAGTGGAGCGCTGTGTTTCCGTTTTTATACTAGTATAGAAAAAATACATCGTCTCTTGAACATTCCATTTCACTGAGAAAGTCAACATCTTGTGCACATTGAAAGTTTGTTCTATAGAAATAGTATAGAGTAAGGCAAATATTTACCTCCATGACATGTCATGGAGGTTATATTTTCAGTATCGTTTGTCTCTGTCATTCTTTCTGTCATTCTGTTCGCAAACAAGATAACTCAAGAACGGCTGGATGGATTGGTTTCAAACTTGGTGGGTTGGAAGGGTGTGGCAAAAACAAGAATTAATGAAATTTTGGGTCCCCAATAGTGGCTTCCCTTGGTACTGCAGCGCAACTTCCGGCTTTAATATCTCGTGATCTGGACATACTAAGGTCATGAAAATTTAATGATAGGTAACTCTTGTCCTCAACAAGAAGTCACGTGAGGTTGGGCACCCTAGGAGCTTGATCTGGAACTGCAAGATGGTTTCTTTAAAAAAATCGTCGAGAGAGGATAACTGAACAACCGTCTAATGGATCGTCATGATGTTTGGTAAGTAGGAAGCATAATTGATACTTGACATAACTAAACTACAATTGTACAAATTAGGATCTAATTTTCAAAATTAATGAGGAAATTTTATAAATCGGCTGTATTACATATTAGGGCTATAAAACACTTTAGGCATTAGTAATTGAGAATAACAAGATCATTGGCAGATATTGATTATGTTATTAAGACCTGATTTGCATAATCAATGAATAATTGGTACAATTTTATGGTGGTAACAGCATGGAATTTAATTTGTTAAGGTTTATTTGTGCATGTTTATTATTATACAGCGTGTATACTCACTATCTCACAATCGTCCCGTGCGTCGAGAGTTGCCCCGGCTGTAAGCAGAACTTGCACAATTTCCGGATGACCTTCCATGGCTGCACAATGGAGTGGCGTGCGTCCCTGTATACGATGTGTAATGGGGGCCCCCAAGGGGGGGTCCCAACAACGCTCTACGCTAAATTTTGAGAGCCGGCTACGTATTACGCTGAATTCCGGACGCCTCTCTACGCTCTACGCTAAATTCGAAAGATCCCGAACGCTCTATGCAGAACTCAATCACCTAGCAACTGCATGTTTGCGTGAAAACCTTTTGATTTATCACATGTAGAGGTGACATAACTTGAATTAAAAGTAAACCGGCGGTCACTTCCTTATACATTGAAAGTATAGAATACAAAACGGGGTATTCAGTATTACCGCAGGTACGAACTTGACCGCAAGTCGATCGCCCGAAGATCGGAGGGCGATCCGTGAATGGAGGTAACATGGCCGTAGCCAGGATTTTGAAGGGGGGGGGACCAACGAGCGCCGGAGGCGCGAGGCGAGCGCCGAAGCCGCGAGGTTCCTAGGGGGGTCCGGGGGCATGCTCCCCCTGGAAATTTTGAAAAATGAACCTTCTGAAATGGCATTTCCTGCGTTTTTAGAGGGTTTCAAAGAAAAAATCAGAGATAACCTTTTCAATGACAAAGTGAGCCGTTTTCCTACGACGGATTCCAGCCTTGCTGGTGACACGAATCAGTCC